TGGATGGATGGATGGATGGATGGATGGGTGGGTAGATGGGAAGGAGGAAACACAAACTGGATACTGGCAAGTGAGAGTGAAAAACTGATAAATTGGAGATTCTTTCAGGATGATTTTTAGTTAAAGATAGAACAAGAGTAACAGACCAAGTCAGGTTTTCTACTTCTGAGATCCTAGAATTGGTGGCATGCATGTCCAAGGAACACGGAGAAGTCATGATCATGTGGCCCTGTGATATGTCCCTCCCAGGGTCACCAGGTTGTAGTGGTTCTCAACCAGACCTCAGAAACTTACCTGGCCCACACGGTTGATGGCACAAGTGAAGCAGTGATTGGCAATGGCTGCGTTTCTGGCCTCAATGGGCCAGAAGGACTCACTGAAAAAGGAGGACAGGAGGAATCAGGTTGCCTGCTCTCAGGCAGCCTCAGTGGGATGCTCTGGCCGAGCAGCAGCTGGGCTACTGGCCTTCTCTGGCCAGTCGTGGGGACAGCCAAGGAGACTCACTGTACCCACAAGTCACTGTAGACCCACTTTGCCACAGCACCCAGCTTAAGCCTAAGCAGCCTTCCAGGGAGGGCCTGCTGCAAGCAAGAGCCACCGCAGTCAGATTGCTTGGGTTCAGATCCTCATCCCGAGCTTGTTTCCTTCTCGCAAACTCCCTCAAAAGGAGACCATGAAGAAAGACTAAACACTGAGGAAGTGAAGCTCCACACGGCAGGAGCTCATAACTGTCATGTTTCTACCTTCTTCCCTCCTCCTGCAAATCTGCTTTCCAGCTGGCCCGGGTAGACCTTCTGGTAAACGTCAGAGGGGCACAGGGGGCCTGGTGAGCTGGGGCCTGACCTCCTACCCCTAGCTCTCCTACCCTGCCATCTTGGAGAAAAGGAAAAACAAAACAAAACAAAAAACCCCAGCTCCATAGAGGAGCATTCCAGCAGAGTAACTACAAAGTTTAGGTGATGGGTGTGTGTTCATGTGGGGGACACATTCTGCAGCAGAATTACTGCTTCTGAACTGACTGTCTCTCAGGGCCCTTCCATTTTTATTCTCTGAACCTTATGTCCGCAGGCAGAAGCTCTCTGGTCCCATCACTGGCCACCCCACAGGGACCACTGAGCTGGGGGCCTTGCCTGGTCCAGTACCCACTGAAGACAGAGCACAGCGGGAGACCTCACCTCTGCTAGAGACCCTGTCTTTTCTAGCCAGCGTGGAACTCAGTGGGCCTTCTGGTCACCGATTGTCTTTCACCCACGAAATGACATCACTAAAGTTCTAGACTGGCCGAACCAGTGCCCACTTAGAAACACTGAGTGGCTGCGAGCAAAAGCCCTAGAATCTTCCTTGCTGTCAGCATGCACCTGGCTTAAACCAAGGAGTAGGTGGAGGGGGTGTGTGCTTGTCACAAGCCTAATTCTCAAGAGGATTCATGAGTCTGGAAAAGGATAAAAGAAAAAAAAAATCAAGGGCTTGATTGAGGGGACTCATTCTGCCTTTCTTTCCCCCTCAACTACTAAGCCACGCTGACAAAACTTTTAAGAAGGGATTTTTACAGAAATACACCATAGATGACATTTTCAGGAATTAAATAGACACTTGCGGAACAGTTGCCACAAAACATCTTTCTTGCAATTCTCCAGGGAGGTGTTCTGCGTAGGACTCAAACCCACAGCTGATAATAAAATGTATGCTCTCAAAACAACAAGGGGAAAGGAAGCTGGAGGTTCGTGAGAGTCCATTATGCGCGGGTTTTGATGGAGGGACGGAGGTAATATATTCCCAGTGTGACATACACACATCCCTAAAAATAATTACAGTGGGAAAGCAGAATGCACCAAGGACATGGGATGGCGACCTTTTGATGAATGAATAAAGCAGAAATAATTCGGCTACTCTCCGGCTGTGCTGGGCACATCCTGGGACTGCCCGGGTGACCCAACCAATCAAAAAGCCCTGATAGTGTTTTGTGGTTTGAGAACTGTGGGACATGAAAAATGAGTGAAGACACCCCACTAACCCACAGTTCAGGCATCATGTACCTGACAGGGAGGACTGAAGATACCGCAGAAGGAGCTGGATGGTTCTGGAAGCTGTGATCTACTGTGGGTTTTGTGTGTGTGTGACACGATGCTAAGAAACACTTATCGATGCTGCAAGTAATTTTTAAAAAATCATCCAAATCTCACCACCTCCATAAACCACCTGCTGTCATTTTTCCCAACTCCACGGCTATCCTTGCCCATAGTACAAAAAATTTTACAGCGTTCTGACCACAGCCTAGATACATCTTTTTATGGCTCACAGGCTTTTGTCACGATGCCTCACTATCTTCAGGATGACTGTGGGAGCAATAATCGGTGGAAGAGATGGGCTCAAATTTCCTTAACCCTGACGTTCTTCTGGCTACCATAAACATCTTCATGTCTTCCTCTTACATCACTTCCTTGGGCTACAGCTCTGGGAGAGCCATTATCTGTCACAGGGCATGAACAAGTCAGGCGTTCATGAAACATCCTGCTTTCCCAAAGGCCGGCAGCAGCTTTTACTGGCAGTCTCGCCACACCCTTGGGAGCAGAGGGCCAGACAATTCTTGGCTGCAGAAGAAAAATCAATCATTTTTAAAAAGCCAGATAAGCTGTCAGGACACAAGCGCCTTGGTCCATATTACATCGAGGCACTTCTGTTTGCTTAATTGGGGCTAATAAAAGCCTGAGATCGCAAGACCTGGGAGAGCCACTACACCCACGCAGCAAGGTGGCTGGGTGGGTCTGTGGCCAGAAGCCAGCTCAGGCCCAGCTGCCCTGGGGGTTGGGCTTCTGATTTCTCTAGTGATTGCTGCAGGGAAGACAGAGCTCTTAAAAATGTCTTACACATAAATGGCCAAGGGGGACCAAGGTTTCGCATAGGCCCAGCGGCTGGATGACCAGTAATCACCTTGCCCTAAAACCACTAATGGAGCCCAGTGTGATCCCAGCACTCATGAGGCTGAGGCAGGAAGATCACTGCAAATTTGAGGCCAGCCTAGGCTACAAAGTGAGTTCAAGGCCAGCCTGAATTACATAGCGAGGTTCTGTCTCAAAAAGACAAAAACAAAAACAAACCAAAAAAATCCCTCCATGGACACTGTTACTGGTGCTCAAGCCATGATAAGACCCTCATATATTTTTTGAGGGAAAACCCTAAGGAATATCGAAGGCCTGATTTTTTTTTTCTTCTACCCAATAGCACTGACAAGGTGGTGGACCTCAAGTAAGAGACCGGGCATTGTGTCCTGACCTGATTAGGAACCTGCTATGCAAACTCTGAAGCACAGGAGATGTCACTTGAGACAGGGAGGAGCACCATATTCTGACATCTAGAAGCCAGACTAAGGCTTTGCTGAGGGTTAGAAATACCGACAAGTGTGGGCCAGCAGGGAACTCCAAGCTGCCCACCAGACCCCCTCCGCTGGCCTCCAGCATTGGGCCTAGACCTGAGCAACCAGGACCAGAAGCCAGCACCTCTTCCTGCTTGGGAAAAAGTAAGTTGAGGAGAAAAATGTTTCCACAGATTCGTAGAGTTCTGTTACTTGTAATAATGCAAAGCTGGAAACTACCCAAATGCTCAGTTGTAGGGGAAAAGCGGATCAGCAGAAGGAACATCAGGCAAGAAAAGGCTAAGCTTCCTAGCTGCCCTTCCTTCCTGCCCAGGAGCTCAGGAACTTGGAGCTGCCAGGTCCAGCTTCACCCTGCACTGCCTCTACTAGAGCAGTTATTGGAGACTTAACACCCAAACACTTATTGTCAGGTGTTACCAAGGAAATCATTTCATTGGCTAAAAATAAGTTGCCGGGATTGATCTCTTAAGCATCCTCTGGGCTCCAAGCCCTCACCTTCTCCTGGCCTCATATGGCTGTGTGTTCCCTGGCTGGATGCCACTGGTCCCATGAGCCAGAATCCAGAGCCCTCTGTCCAGGAGCTAATGCTAGCTAGGTACCTAGAGTGCTCCAGGACCAAGAAGTAGGACTTTCTGAATCTTGATGAGCACGCAGGAGGTGGTGGTATTTTCATTGCAAAGTTCAGAATCATAGCAAAGGATGGTGTCTCACAGTAGAGTGAGTAGCTCTTTGGGGATCCGAAATTGTGTCATCTTGAGAATTCTTTTCACTAAAAAGCTGGTTAAATGTGAAATATACCACCATAGGCCTTCCAATCTGTTAAGACACTCTGATGACCGCGCCTGACTATAAACCCTACCTCTGAGCCCTGGATCATGGCGCTGGGTCTCAACTGTGGCTGAGCCCCAGGGAACCCCCACGTCCTGCACACTGAGTCACCTGAGTGAGCCAATGGTGGCTGAGGGGTTGAAGATGATCTCTGCCCCATTGATGCTGTACATAAGCCAGTTGAGGGGGTGGTGCCGTCCATAACAAATGTTCACTGCGATCTTGCCAAAATGGGTCTCGAACACAGGGTGGCCCAGGTTTCCCTCCATGTAGTAAGTCGACTAAAAAACAACAAACAGGGCTGTTACATCGATGCCTCAGCACCGTAAGGATTTCTCTTTCCTTAGATTCAGCAGAAAACATGAAATATCACCAGTGTTCTAAAAGTTAACACTCTTGGGTATGACTTGAAATCCCAGAATTTCAATGTTAAACAGTAGACAGATACAAATCAAGACACAAAAATAAAGCCACTCAAAGGGAAGTCACTGTGGTTTTAAGCATCTATCCCTAATCCCCTTTGTGATGTGTCAAAAATCCCCAAAGTCACTTTCCATGAAGAGAAACTGGGGGAGGGAGGTTCGATAAGGACCTCTGAAGGTGAAAGCTGAGGTTTGGCTGTTGCTAACGTGTACTGGCCCAAGTCCTCAGCAAGCACATGGTCTTCGATGGAATCTTAGAGCTGAAGGAACTCGGATTCATCAGAGTCATCAATGTCTAGAAAACACTGTCACCGAGTGGGGTTGGGACTTGACTTCAGGGCAGCCAGGTAGGAACCCCACTTTCCTGTGCCTGCCTCTGCCTGCCTCTGCCTGCCCAGCCCTGGAACCTGCAGCAGAGACAGCCCCCAGGAAGGGTAGAGGGCACGTGAGTTCCCACATAGACCCACTGCTGGAGCCTCTTCCCACTTCCTATTAATTTCAAAGCAGACCAGGTGCAAGCAGTGGCCAGGATGTACACATGTGGCAGGCACTGGAGCCGCCATGCTGCGCTGGGGCCAGCCCTGCGCTATTTGCAGGGAGTTAAAGATTAACCCAAGGTAAACGGCAAGGGACTCCCGCCCCCACCACCAACTGTTACTGAGAAACGCTGGGTTCTTCTCTCGCCCAGGGAACCTTGTCGGGCCCTATTGATGATTTCCCACCCTCCTCACTAGCCTGAGTACATCCGGGGCCCCCATGATCTGAGAAAGAGGATAAAGGACAAGGATGTCACATCCTGAACAACTGTACCAATCTGAAAATCAAGTTCAGATTTAATCTTAGGCATTGGGTGTTGTCTATTTCACTTCTTTAAACATCCACCACACCATTGTCACCCACTTGTGACTTGCCATTAACTGAAGTAGCCTCCCAATGTATGCCCTGCCCATAGGCATAAAAAGTCTCATGTTGGGGCCGGGGAGATGGCTCAGTAGAATAAGCACTTGCCTGGCAAGCGCAAAGGCCTGAGTTCAATCCCCAGTTCCACCAAAAAAAAAAAAAAAAGAGTCTCACGTAACACACAAATACAGAGACAGGCATATTAACCAACCTCCTGTCACCCAACACATGAACAGGGGCCAACTCAGCCTGGGTACAGAGGTGCACACCTATAACTCCAATACTCTGGGAGGTTGAGGCAGAAGGATGGTGTGTCAGAGCCCAGCCAGGGCAACTGAGATCCTGTCTCAAAATTAAAAACAATCTGCAGACATAGCTTAGTACAAAGCCTTGGATTCACACCCTAGCCCTACAAAAACGAAACAGAAAAACAGGAACCATGAAAGCCATGGACAACGAATACCACCTTCCCAAAATGAGATTGGTCATGGTCATCCAGGAGGTCAGAGCCTGAAAGGGGCCTCAGGAATCATAGCACATTTATTTTATTTTATTTGTGTGTGTGTGGGGGGGGCCAGCTCAGCCCACCAGGGGGCGGCGCTGGCTGGCATGTGGTGCTGGGGGATTGAACTGTGGTCCCTGTGCTTTGCTAAGCTTGTTCTAAGTAGGTGCTTTAGACCACTGAGCCATCTCACCAGCCCATCATAGCACATTTATCCACTATTTTGCCTTTAATTTATGTACCACTTACTCTAAAGGAGAATTTAAAAAACAAACAAACAAACAAACAAACAAACAAAAAACCCTCAGGTTAAAATAAAAACACATGTATAGGGCAAAGGGATATAGCTCAACGGCATAAGCACCTGCCTGCAAAGCACAAGGTCCTGAGTTTGATCCCGAGCACCACAAACAGAAAACCCACATGTATAAAAAAACCCTAGTGCTAAGGTGTTTGGGGCTCCCGTGAGCTCCACGTGAATTCCACCCACCTGCGTGACACAGGGCCATGTCATGGGACCCTCTGAGCACCACAGTCACACTGTGCTGCAGCATCACATGAGATGACATTCTCCCACCCAGAATGTCACCAGCAGAGGGGCCTCCGAGGTCTGTACATGGAAGGAAGAGAAGCAAGCTGGGCCGATCACCCCAAGGGCAGCTTACCTCATTGAAATCGCCCACTCGTGGGATGTGGTTTTTCCTGGTCTTGCCCAGAACCGCTCCAGAATCAGAGACCACCACAGCTGTGTTCCACAGGACGTCCCCATGACTGTGGTCTCGCTCCAGGATGGGGGATATCACCACCATGCTGTGCTTCTTTGCCAGCTGGAGAAATGAACAGCACAGTATTCTTTCAAATCAACCGCACCTTTTCATCAAAGCACTTACTGATCCTACCAAACAACAGGGCTTGGTGCAGCACTGTCCCTTGCAGCAGACGTTATTAGGAATACTTACTGCCACGGCCGTCCTGATGTCCACACTTAGCTAAATAAGAACTGCCATCATCCCTGCGGACTGCCAGTGAGAACAGAGAATGGTGTGGCTGCTGTGGAATCTGTGTGGAGGGGCCTTGAAAACTGAGACCTGGCACTGGCCAAATAGCTCAGTGGATTAAAGTGCCTGCAAGCAGGTGCAGGGGCCGGCAGTTTGATCCCCGGGGTGCACTGAGATGGCAATTGAGACTGGG